ATTTTGTAAATGGTGTATGAGAATGAAAATTGGTTGAGTGATCCTGTATATTTTTGAAGGAAGGACTTTTCACTATGTGAATTCATGTAGGAAGCTTGACTGACTTTGTTTCTAAGTCAATGAGTATGAAAACTGAAATGTATTCTTATTCCCACTGTCTGCAGGGAGAGGAGTGAGTGGCAAGTTATGCACAAACACTAAAGATCTCTGAATCTGTATTTTATGTTTACTGTATGAGGCTTTGTACCGAGTACCACAGTTTCTTTGACAAGCTGTTAGAGATCTCCTGTTGCTGGCAAGAAAGAGGGCACTCCATCCCTTTTGCTATTGCAACAAAATTGTGTGTTCTTCACTGTAATGTTTGTTTCCTGTGTTTTCTCTTGGATAAAGGCCTCTATTTTTTACCAAGTGCATTTAATCACTGTATGTATAAATGGAGTCAAGTCCTATCTGTCTTAGCAGTTTAAGAAGTAAGGTACTTGGGATAAGATGATGGAACATCATGGGGCCACCTCACAACTTAGGGGAGAGTGTATGCATGAAGAATGTTGACAGCTGTTTTTAATATGGAAACTTTTACATTTCATTGTCTGTCTACAAGTTTCATGGGGTTTTATTCATTTTTCATGAAAAACAAACAAAACCACACAGTGTTTGAAACATCTTTTTTTGCCTTGTTTGACTTTGTACAGCGTACTGAAAAGTAAGTCTTTATTATGTATAATGACAATTTGTACTATTTTATGTTACACTGTAACACACTGTACAATTACTTAGGTTGTTTGTATTTAGAGTATGTCACTATAAACTACTGCTTTTAACAACTCAGCAGTTGTTTCATAGGTGGAGACTTGACAGACTTGATAAATTTAAGGTATGTTGAAATGTAGTGCATATACTTTAATATAGGAATAGTTACTTGCAGCATTGGGTAACAGTGAGTTTTCATTTTACTCCCACCCTAAATCTGAAGTGGATCTTTCTTTGTTGAGACCTTGCAGTGCTTGTTCTTTAACATGACTGTGATGGAAACTGCTCAGATTAACATCTTGCTGGGAAGTGCCCTGCATGTACGCTGCTTCAAAATTTTGATTCTTTATTCTACTGGGGTTAGTGTGTAGGTGTAAACCAGATGACTTGCATATTGCAGGAACCCTTAGGTATTCACATCACTCTTCAGTGGCACTAACTTTTGCCTTTTGGAAGAAGAGACATCCCTAAATGTTTTAGCACTTGTGTTGTCCCTCATGAATATAATATAATATAGTTTTTGTTATAAACATTACTTCATTCTCCACTCAAAGTGTACTCATTAGAATATCATATGTTTTAGTTAGCAAAACCTACAGGTGCAGGGCTGGTAATAAAAATGCTCTTCTTTTTGCATCCCTGGGACTGCATGGTGGGTGAGGAGGTGTCTCTGTTACATCCATGATACCCTGGGTTAAGAGCAAGAGATTCTTGTGCCAGAAGACACAGATTTCATTGCACTCCTGTAGATTCTTCTTATATCTCTTGAATAGCTCATTGGCTGTATTATCTGGATCTTGCCACAGTTCTTTGCCCTTGGCTGATAAAGCTACCACTGGCAGGAAACTTCAATGATTGTTAATGCCTTAGTGAAACAGGGATTCACTAAAGATTATGACACTACAGCTTTGTCACTTCTGTGTTGTATCCATTCAGTGAATGGGTGTTCTCCCAGTACGTGGGGCATTGTTAGATGCAAAGCAGTAATGCTAGGGATTTATTTCCAACAGGAAATAGCAAATCTCAAAGTTGTATGACTGATCACACGAATTTTTGTGTTTGTGGTTAATTTTGTATGTGTGGTTAATTTAAAAAAGACTTTAAATATTCCACTTAAGACAATTTTGAAGCTTCCTTATTTTCAGTGTTTCTTGAGGCAACACTTTTGTAGTCAAAATGCCTGAATTACCACACTGTCAGCCTGATTTCCTGTTTAATTTTTATGCTTCAGTAAAATATAACTTTTTACTTTCTTCATTATTGGGCTGAAGCACATCTGACACAAACTTTTCCTTCGCAGCATTTGAAATGGGATAATCTAAAGAGCATTGAGCAGCTGAACATGCAGCCCTCTGGGGGGTTATGTGGGGTACATGCACAAGACTCAGCAAGCCTTGAAGCTGTTAATGCACCCTTCAGGCTGAGAGCTGCAGGTATTAACAGGGTGAATGATCTGCCCTTCTCTGTGGGAGTTTATCGTTCAGCAAGCCAACACACAAGCTGCTCCATTCCAGGACACACCTGAGCCCCTGCTGCTTTTCTAAGCGTAGTCATAGACCTTAGGCTGAAGTTCCAGTACCTGAACACTAACTGTACCAAAATTTGAGTGCAAGGATGGTCCAGCAGGCTTGAATTCATCAAAATGACCTTGCCATCTTTTTGAAGGAGGCAAAAGTTATGCAGATCTTCTTTCTAACACACAAATAGTATTGAGAGAAGAAAATAATTCTCTGTTAAATATGGCATCCAAGCAGATAATCAAAATTATTTCAGCAATGCTTAGATTTAAGATGAAAGTTGCCTATAATGGAATAAGAGAAACCTGCTAATGTTCTGTGTCAAAGTGTTCTATATGAGTCATCTCAAAGCCAGGTGAGTCCTAGTACTGGACTGGGCTCATTCTCAGCTTTCTAGTGGAAGGGTAATACTGATAAATAGTTCGTCACTTCTGCCAAACTCACTAAAGTTGATAAGAAAAATTAAAAATTATTGTGGACCAGAAGAAACACCACTCTCATTGTGAGGATTAAGATGCATTGTTACTAATGGCTTAAAAGTAACTGGCTAAAAGAGGAAATGTACGTAACTGATTTTATCACCATCATGATCTCCAGTAAATGTAACAGATTTGTAGGAAAAAAAGTCAACATACCATAAATCCTCAATCATAAGAATCAGTGTTTAAAACTGAGTATCTTGTGTATGCTGTTCTGTAAAATCCCTACAAATTAATTCTGCTGTTCTCTTGTAAGTGACACTAGTTGCATCATGCGACTTAAAACGTTTGTTTATTGTTGTGTCTGATATAAGTCACTACTTTTGTGGTTATGTTAAATTGTCAGTACATTAAATTTCAAAAATTGCTGTAACTACAAGCTGTGCAACCTTAATCTGATTGAGAAACGTGTGCTTGATTCTTGGGTGTTTGTTGCCAACAGCTGGATCAAAGGCAGCACGTGAGAGCACTGGCTGGAACAAGTGTGGATGCCCCAGACAAATAGAAATGGTGTTTCTTAGCTCTTGCCTCTGATGTCTTTACTATATGGTTGAAATACAAAATAAGGATTCTTTTCTGCTCTTTCTGGTCATTTTGCTATTTATGATTGGTCTGGCAAATACAGTGACAAGGTTTAAGTTCAAGATTGTAGACATTGGAAGTGGCATTAAAGCAATATTAATACATCAAAGATGTCTGGTACATTTTCTGAAAATAAACAGGTAAATAGTCACTAGTGATTGTTGGTTGGGGGTTTTGCATTGTTTTGGTATTTTTGTTTAGTAAAACCAAATCAGCATTTGTATCTGCCTCTTTACCCACGTATCTGAAGAATATCAGAAGTAACATCCTCCTACTTCTTTTGCATGCAGTTTTGAACACAGAAAATCAATGTGTTTGCTTAACACCCTGACAAGGATTAACTGGCAGTGTTTTAGGCTCATTACACAGGCATTGGACCAGATTATCTTCATCAGTCCCTTCTAACCCACTTCTTCTGCAATTCTGTGATTCTAACTAAGTGCTATAAAAAAATAAAAATTCTTCTAGGTATCAGTATAATGAAGAGGATCTAAGAAAGAAAACAAAAAGATTTTTGCCTGAATAACCTTATAAAACCCAAATATTGGAGCAATATTCTAAGCAACAAGAAGCTGACTTCAACTTAAGTGTTGCACAGCTCAAGTTCTGAAAACAACCCAGGCTATGTATTGCTGTAAAGGATTTTAATACTGTTGAACAGTTTGAAGATTTTTTTTCAAGTGGAATTACAGAATTAACGTCACCAACCTTAGAAACTTCTCACAATCTCAAAGCTGAAACTGGGACTGCATTTGAAGCACGTACCTGAAGTGCCATTTCTGCAAATTAAATGCAGTGACAGTGACCTCATAGCAGCTGAGGTTTCCAAGAAGGACAGATCTTGAGTTTTCCTGCCGAACCCTTGAGCCATTCAAGGCATTTAAAACCAGAGGGCTCTTGACTGTTGGCTGTGCAGCAGCCTGATGTGCAGGGTCTCACCGTGGGCTCACTCAGAGCATCCAGGTGTGACAGAGTCCAACTGTAACACCCGAGGCACTGCCACCAAGGCAGCTGTGGTGAGTGGCATCACTCAGACCCTTTGGGCTCCCTTCAGCTGAGCTTTAACCTGCTGCTGGCTGAGCCAGAGAGCGCCCTGCTCCCCTCAGGGCACCGCCAGCCTTGGGTGAAGTACTGCAGGGGGTTACAAAATTACAGGCACACCCTAAAATCTGCACCTTCTGACCCACAGCCACAGAGCTCAGTGATGATGCACAGCAGTTACTGTGAGTGAGAGGGTGGAAGATATAAAACAAAAACCACTCACACAAAGAGGTGGATAACGATGTATGTACAAAGTACCTTCCTACACAAGTCACAAATACAGTGTTTGCCTGGTGAGAAGTCAAAATGTTTTGCTCTGTGGCTTCAGAGATGATGCAAAAGTGGAGTAGTAGCTGATGTACAATTCCCCTTTCTATTATCTTTTAGAAAACACATCAATCTTCAACGGTACAATGAGCTTGTGGGGGCAGAATGGTTCACCAGGCATGGAGGGGGGATTTTGAGAGTCAGGTCATTTCTAGCCTGGCTGGTGATCCCTGGGACACACATATTGCTTTTACCTTCCTCAGTTACAAGCTGGAGGTAGCTATCACTAGAAAATTCTGTGATCAGTTTATTCAAAGTATTTAAAAAGTGCAAAATTATAAATGGTAATGAGTAGGACACTGTCTTGTTTATGAAAATACCATAAACGGTTTATTAATTCTTTTGATTTATTGCCATAATTTGTCTTTTGTCCCCAAAAGTCTGGTTCACACACTATGTATACAGCAGAGAAAAGCTGAAATCTCATGATAGGACAAAACAACTTTAGTTCAAAAAACCCAGGAGAATGGAGGAAAGGCTAGTTTTTCAGTTTCTGTCAGTTCAGCAGAAGCACAATTACAATTTGCAATAGAGCAGTATCGACTCTACAGAAGAACTGATAGCATTCCTTACTGCCAAAAGAAAATGCCAATGCTACTAAAACCCATTAAATGCTTGCACCTGGCAATCAAAGATACTTTGGTGGGTGTGGATGTGTATATACGTGTGTGCTCGTACAGAGAATTCTTGTCTTGGCTTCTGTGTGCTTTTTACGGGCACTTGCTCATCCTGTGGTTTGCCGGAAGTAGCCGGGAGGATACGTTAATCCTGTTTGCTGTTGCAAGACTGCCGGACAGATGATTTCTGATGCTCCAGCAATGTGATGGACTTTTCAGAATTTTCCAAGTTTCTGAGCAGAGTCTCTAGGCGCCTTTTGATTTTCTTCTGATCCTCAATGGCACATCCGATGACCACGGACTGGAATTTCTGATCGATGGGTCCTGCTGGCACGTCAGACGTGCACGCACCGTAAAGCGACATGAGGCGCATTTTGGCGTCTTCCAAATCGTCGAGGAGTTTGTTGACGATCTCATCGATCATCTTGGTGGCGTGCAGCAGGGACTCCTGCTGCTGCGCGTTGCGGATGGTTTCTACGGAAACCTCCACCGTGAGGGTTCGGCCCATCAGGCGATTCGCGGTCAAATTGAGTTCTTCTCTCTCACCTCAATTCAAAACAAGAAAATATTCTTGGTTACGGGCAAATACTTTCCTGTGCAAATAGCATCATCAAGATACTCAAAGTGCTATACCTTGGCAGTAAATAATATTTTTTTAAGTAAGTGACAATCAACAAGATTTCCAGAGGGCAGAAATGAGCTTTTTACATTTACCCAAGTCATACTCATTTCATAGAAGCCAGTATCTGTGTTGGGAATTTAGCTGCTAGAAAATGGAAAAGTACAAAGCCGTGGCTAATTCAAAGTCCTGCACCTGTGTTGATAGCATGTCCTTGAAGCCTAGCTGTAGTATAATAACAAACAGTGAAAGAGACATGAGAAAAGAGAGATGTAACCCCTAAGGAATGAGGATGAGTTAATGCTATAGTTTAACCAATAGATTGCTTGGCTTACAGAATATTCATAAGCTTATTATTTGCTGTATAAGTGTTTGATACTTTCTTCAATAAACTGGACCAGAAAGACCTGAGGGACCGGGACTGGACCGGACCTGAAGGGACTGTGATGAACCAACTGGTGTCCTGGTCCCCTTCCTTCGACATATCTGATTTGAAATGAGGCATTAAACTCTACTAAAATTGTAACCAATGTTTTTCCTCTACTGACACAATGCTTGCTGTGTCACTTTCAAGCAAAACATACAATATTATGAGGAAACACTTGGTAACAGAACTAGCTCATTAAGGACTTCTGTGCCTTTCTGAGGGAGAGATTTAGACCTTCTCTGAAAGCCATAAAGAGAAAACTAGATATAATAAGAGGCCATGAAAAAACTGCTTTTCAAAAATATGAGATGTAGGCTCTTGAAGAGCCAATAAACCAGCAATTTAAAGCACCTAATAATCAGGTTTAGGGAATATATTTAAAGCTGTGAATCACACAACAACAACAATGACCTTAATCATCAGGTTCTTGCAAGCTGTACACTTTGTAGCACTCATGCCTGTCCAGTAGTCAAAATCATTTTCAACTATATTGTCATCATCATCATCATCATCAATGACTCTCCCCCAGCAGAGCAATGTTAATCTTGATTTTGAAAATGTATCAGTGAACTGAGTATAGGCTTTCACATACACAGTATGAATTTAATCAAGAAGAGTTCTCAGGATAATGAGTAACACTTCAACAAACTCAGCCGGCTCCAATGCTGCACCCTTACCAGCAGCAGAGTGCTGCTCACAAAAGGCTGCTCCCTAAAAGATGGGCTGATTAGGCTTTGGGTCAGTTGGAGGGTACAGGAAAGCAGCTTCTCACCTTCACTGATGTGCCTCATATCCTGGCTGTTCTGTATATTGTGGATCATTTCAAGCAGAATTTCTTTCTCTTGTTCCATGGCAGATGCTGCATCACGGAAAGCCTCTACCCTGTACATGGTTGAACCAAACAAAATGTTTAAATAATAAAACAGCTGTTCGCCTATATAGCTGCAAAGAACTCTTATTTTAAACTTCAGCTTAGAGTAAGTGCAGTCAGATCTTGGTTATTCATGAGACAGACACTCTGACTTCATGACCTTCTCTATCTTCACTTTTCAAGACCAGTATAATGTAAAAAAACAAACAGATGGAGGGGCAAACAGAAACAATAGCAATTCAATCAGCAATTCAATTAAATTTTTTATTTTACTGACAGTGCTGTTCTATCTTATGCTGTGGTTAAGCTGGATATGCAGAGCCTGATGGTATACAGCCCCATAGCAGAAGTCCTGTAGGCAGCTGGCAATTACTATCAGCTGCCCAGCTAGGAGAGAAAGGGACCGAGTCCCCAGCAGGGAACTTGGTAACGAGGGTGGCAGCTGCAGAGATGGAGGCAGCAAGGGGCCCCGGCTCCCTGTGCGACCGCCAGGCCAGCAGAAGCCACAGAAGCCACCTGCACAGCAACAAGCAGAACCCCGCAACGCGCCAAACAACGCCTTTCACAAAGGAGAAAACCCTGCGAGGGGCACAGAGCTCACACACTGCTATTAACAGGACAAGGCTTTCCCAACACAAGTGCTGTGCCTTGTCACTGGGAGAAGATGCTGGACTGCCTGCTCCCACTGTCACTGGTGCTTTCCATGGAATGATGCTCACTGTAATTCACACAGGGAGGAAGCGCCTGTGGGAGCAGCTCCTATTTCTGGGCTTGCAAGGAAGCATGAAACTCAGTCCCTCCTGAAATCAGACTCCTACTCCAGTCCCATTCCTGTGCTGAAACTCACATGTAATGCAGCGAGGACAAGGGGAAAGTCCATCACAAACTGCTGTCCCTGTAACTGCTGGTCTTGGTAAGTGTGTGGTTCTGTGCCCACAGCCTGCTCTCCTTGTGGCAGTAAGTGCAGACTCAGCTGACCACGGGCAATGTGAAAATGCCCCATGAGAAATCTGAGTCCAGTTTCTTAATTCAAGTCTTGTTCCCCATCACAGTTTTAAAGAGGGGGCTTTTGCATTCAGCCAAATAATGGAAAAGAACTCTGAAGCACTCCAATGCAGCACTTTACTTGACCTGATAAAAAGGGAAATAAATGTCCCACTCCCTTTGCTTTTCTCTGAGACTTGAGGGTGGGGGCTTGCAGAGCCCTGTCCAAGCTGGAACAGGCTACAGGAATTGCCCAAAACCATCAACTCTGCGTTCACAGGCTGCACAGAAAAGAGTATCATGTGAACCTGGCTGATGGTTTGAGATGCTTCCAATGCACAGCTCAGGAGGTCTGGCTACATCATGAGAATCCATCCATCTATCCTGAAGTGTTTATGAAACCTGGCCAGAAAAGGGGAAACAAACCAAAACATTGTTAAGTCTCTTAGGTGCTCTACACCCTTCAACATTTCTGGGCGCTGCCCTGAGACAGGGGTGGCTCATTGCTGTCTCCTGGGACAGGAACAGAGCTGCTGCTCCTTCCTCACGGGCTGGCTGAAGGGAGTAACTTCAGGAAAACAGCAGGAAGAGAAAAGAGGGCAAAAGCAGAAGAACGGGAGCATTTGAGGATATAGTCACTCTTCACATGCAGCCTGCTCACGAAATAATTTCTGTTTTACAAAATATTTAACCTAACTTAGTCAGTGAAAGCACAGGCTTCAGGCCTTGCCTTTAATGTTTTTTCTGAGGAGGAGTGGGAAAAGTTAATGCAATGCAAATTCATGCCAAGAGCAAATACTTTTAATTATTATTTTGGACTGGTTAGTAAGAGCAATGAGGCAGGTGGAGTCATTTCATACTTCAGATGTCTCCACTTTATAATTTAGGAAGTCTAGTAATATTTTCAAAATGCCTTGCCATGCCTTTTTAAAAAAAAACTAGTCGCTGGGAAGTTGTAAATTAAAATTCTGAAGTGCAAGTTTTCAATTTTGATAGTGTTTTAAAATCAGATTCTGTATATCATTGTACTGATGTAAAAAGTAAAGTTCTGCCTTCAGGAGATAGATCAGTCCATGATTTCCACAGGCTTTGCTGGGTTCTAAGAAGAATGTGGAAAAGCTGCATTGCAGGGATGTATCCTGAATTGGTACAGTTCTAAAGAGATGCCTAAAATATCACTGCTTCCAAAGGCCAGCTTGGTATGTGAGGTAAGACCTGAAAGCCAAATTGTCAGAATTAATGTTGAATACTGAAAAAAAAGAAAAACCCAGTTCACCAACTACAGCTTTGATTGACATTTATTTGCTAAAGGTAATATAACCAAATCTTAAGAACTATTTTATTTGCAATAATTGCTACTTCAGAATTATTTTTACCATTTCCTAAACTGCAATATAGAGTGCCACACAACAATGGGTCAGGGTCATTTCATAACAGTGCTCTAGTGGGGGAAAAAAAAGCCCCCCCAAAAATGGAAACCAGTCACATCAACTTCAGGAAAATAATGTGTCAGGATCACACCATGCAGTCAGTTCTCATAACTTCTTTCCTAAAATGCATGGTTTCCTAACTTCACAGGTTTCTGTAAATCTTTCCTTTCCTTGTGTGGTGGACCCAAAAAAACCAGTTGGAAGATTTAAACCTCTAACAGAGGTGACTGATGCGGGAAGGGGTGGAAACACAATCCAAGTCTCAAAAAAACAACCAACCAGAGAATGAAAGGCGAAGAAAAAAGAACAAAAAATACTCATATTTATGCCCAGTTATCAATTATTTTGATGCAGCAGTATAGTCTTTTTTCCTCAGAGATGAAAACTTCCAATCATCTTTTTACTTGGAACAACCCAAGTAAATTTGTTACTTCGAACATCAACTAAATATTCCATCTATTACCTAACACTGAAAAAGACATTCCTTACTTCTGATTTTGCCTGTTTGTGAGCAATTAGCTGAGCAATGCCTTTTTTTGCTACATGCCATTTACATGAGCAGAGCATTCCCCTGAGAAACAGGTGGACCAGGCTGTGCTTTTGTTTCCAGAGGAGAAACCTGACACCCTCTTTCTTAGGACAGCTGCAATAACTCTGTCCTTTAAACTACTGACTGACTTAAACAGCCCACTGTTAAAGCCCACGTGCTGCAGCTTCAGAGAAGTCTTCAAAGGAAATAAGAAACATCTGAGGATGGAGCAGCTTCTTTCCTGAAATGGAGCAAATCAGGCACACTGGAGGGAGACAAAACAGGGGGTTTCACCCTGGCATCCTCAGCTCCTTCAGCTGAGTGTCCACTCCCAGGTAAGCACTCCTGTGACCACTGAAATGAATGGTGGTGGAACATGGTTGACCCAAAGAACAAGATAAAAAGTACAAAAAATGAAGCTAAAAAATACCCAGCAAGAATCTGACTTACCTCATGTATCATCACACCTAAAACTGTGTTTTCACTTAACACAACCAAGAGAACACAGTGACTCACGGACAGAGCCTCTGCTCTGGCTTCCAGCTGCTCCTGACAGATCTTGGCAGCCACAGCAACACCAGGGTCCAAGCCCTTCCAAGGGGAAACGTGCCACCTCTGCCCCTCACCACCCAAACTGATTCCCCTTCCCTGCTCACTTTCCATGCAGAAGAAATCCCCTCTGCCAACACCCTTCAGGGAGGTACAAAAATACCCCATTACTGTTGGAAAAGAAGCTCTCACAGTGGAAAGAAAGGGAGGAAAAGGAAGGCTGTTCAAACTGGAGTGTTTTACAATGGCTTTAAGGTGAAAGAGGGTAGGCTTAGATTTGGTATCAGGAAGAAATTCTTCACTATGAGCAGGGTGAGACGCTGGAACAGATCGCTCAGAGAGGTTGTGAACACTTGGAGGTGTTCAAGGCCAGGCTGGATGGGGCTTTGAGCCACCTGGTCTACTGAAAGCTGCCCCAGCCCATGTCAGGGGGCTGGAACTAGGTGACCTTTAAGGTCCTTCCTAACCCAAACCATTCTGTGACCCTGTGATTTCCAGAGGGATGAAACTTGCTTCAGAGTTCAGTTTACCTTAAGCAACTTGAGAACTGAGGATTGTTGAGGTTTTAATTAAAGGCTGTAGTTCAGTTTGACAAATTTTCACTTATATTTACAAGCAACATCTTGAGGGTCTATAGCAAAACCAAACAAGCTGGAGAAGGAGAAGGTTTGGACATTTTTCCTCCTGTCATTCAAATAAATTTGAAATGAAGCATGTTGATTAGCTGTGAATAGAAAAAAAACCATAAGACTTGAGTGACTTTTATCAAATTGGACTTTTTTTTTTCTCATTACTATTCCACATTTAGAATTATGGCTGTCTGAAAGAACCACAGCAAACTGAGAAGTTTAATTGAGGGTTTAATTGCTGGCTAACCAAACTGTCTGCTTTGTTTCAGAGTCACTCAGCAAATCTAAAACACATTTTTGCATATTCTCATGCTAATTTCTGGATTATATACTCATCATATGCCTAGACCTGGATGTAAGCAGTGAGACTTGTTTGCAGACAGTGATTTTGTTTAGTCAAATTCAGAGAAGTCTGCAAAGGACTTCAAGGAGATTTAATCAAGCTAAGTGAAAGGCTAATATAACAGCACATCGAGTCCACTCCTGAATAATGCAAAGTAATGCAGGCAGAAAGGGGAAATAAAACTCCTGCATCCCACAGAGCTCTTTTAATTACAGGAAAGTCCTAGAAACATTCTGGGTGGTTCTGTGAAAGCTGCTGATCAATATGCAGCTGTAATGAAGGAAAGGGTGTGTTGAAACAGTACCAGAGGAGGTGAATCAGTGGCATCCTGCACATCCATCCACCTCAGAAAGGACACTATGTAATTTAGCAGAGCTGAGAGGACAAGGAAGATGATTAAAGGCAAGGTATCATCTCTCATGAGGCCAAACTGGGAAAAAAGTCAAATGGTATTATTTAGGGAACATCAAGTAGCAAAAAAAGTCAGGACATGTCTTGGCACAGTGATGAAATTCACATAGCATTTACAATAACTTTGGAAAAACACACCTCAGCTGCAGAATGCAATGCTGTTCACATTTTATAGTGAAATGTTTTAGTACACCTCAGAGAGGAGGTGGGCACAAACACAACAAGAACATCCACAGCCGAACCAGTAAGTGCAAAGGGAGGTTTGGAAGACAAGACACCTCACACGCCAGCATACAGCACTGCAGCTCAAAGGCTTGCCAAAGTCTCCGAGAGCCCGAATGACACCAGGTTTTATCCTCGGATTTTCTGCACCTTCTTATAAAACGCCCGCCTGCAAGCGCGGGATAGGGGCGACAGGATGGGACAGACACGATGCAGAGCCCGTCCCCGTCTGCCAAAGGCTCCCCACACCCCGAAGGGCAACAAACCCGAGCAGCCCTTCGCGCTTTCTCTGAAAAACCTCAACTGTCATACATTCGTATAGATACTCCGATTTTCGTGTATTTCCAGGCCACGCTAACTCACTTTACAGCAGCAGCACCCATTTTTAAACTCTGCCCCCCAAGGAAGGGAGCGCTTTTTCCCTCGGTTCCGTCCG